CACGCGTCCCCACCAAATGCACCTGCGATGTGGGCGGAATCACGAGCAGGGCCTCTCCGGATGAACGAAGTGAGCGTGTGGGTTCGTAGATAGAAATGCGGTCACGCAGGTAGGACTGGTCCCAAACCGTTCAGGGCTTTGTAGGTAAGCACCTGCACCTTGAATTGGGCTCGGAAGATAAACAGCAGCCAGTGGAGCTCCTTGAACAGGAGGGTTGACCTCTCTCTGTAATGAGCCCCGGTTAACATCCTGGCTGCTGCCCGTTGGACCAATTGGAATTTCCGAGCCGTCTTCAAGGGCAGCCCCACGTAGAGCGCATTACAGTAGTCCAATCTAGAGGTGACCAAGGCATGGACCACTCCGGCCAGATCAGCCTTCACGAGGTACGGTCGCAGTTGTCGCACAAGTCTCAGTTGTGCAAAATCCCTCCCAGACACTGCCGACGCCTGAGCCTCAAGTGTAAGCAATGAATCCAAGAGGACTCCCAAACTGCGGACCTGTGACTTCAGGGGGAGTGTAACCCCGTCCAACACAGGTTGCCACCCTATACCCCGATCCGGTTTGCGATCGACCAGGAGGACCTCTGTCTTGTCGGGATTGATCTTCAGCTTGTTCTTCCTCATCCAGATAGACACAGCGGCCAGGCACTCGTCCAGCACCCGAGGGGGCTCCTTGGAATTGGGTGGAAAAGAGTAGTAGAGTTGCGTGTCACCTGCGTAGAGGGGGCACCTAGCTCCAAAACTCCGGATGACCTCTCCCAGCAATTTCATGTAGATGTTAAAGAGCATGGGAGACAGAATAGAGCCTTGCGGGACCCCACAGGTCAACGGCCAGGGGTCCGAGCAGGCGTCTCCCAGCTTCACCAACTGGGAACGACCCTCCAGGAAGGACCGAAGCCACGACAGAACCGTGCCCCCGAGACCCATCCCAGAGATACCATGATCGATGGTATCGAAAGCCGCTGAGATGTCCAAGAGAACCAACAAGGTCACACTCCCCCTGTCCAGCTCTCTACGGAGGTCATCCACCAAGGCGACCAAGGCTGTCTCGGTACCGTGACCAGGCCTGAAACCAGACTGTGACTGATCCAGGTAGTTGATGTCATCTAAAAAGCCCTGGAGCTGGGAGGCCACCACCCGCTCTAGAACCTTACCCAAAAAAGGGAGGTTGGAGATCGGTCTGAAGTTGTTCAGCACCGTGGAGTCAAGGGAAACCTTTTTGAGGAGTGGCCGAACCACAGCTTGTTTCAAATTAGATGGAAAAGTCCCTTGCTCCAACAATGCATTAATGATCAACACAAACCAATCAACCAACCCCTCCCTGGCCGATTTAATTAGCCGAGATGGGCAAGGGTCTAGAGCCGACGTGGTCGCCCTCACAGCCCCAATGACCTCTTCCATGGTCTCAGGAAGAACAAGCCTAAAAGAAAGCCACAAAATTGGACAAGTACATGCCTCAATCACCTCATCTGGCACTGTGATGAAATTGGAGTCGAGCTCAAGGCGTATCTGTTCTTCTGAATGCGCACAGACTATGTTATCATCAGCATATTAGAGTTCTGTAACAGATGTTGTGATCTTCATTTTGGCGTTCAGTCTGCTGGAAGGCCGAGCTTCTTGTATGCTTTTGCAAAGGTGTTTAGAGTGGCTTGTAGGTCTTCCTCTGAATGCGCACAGACTATGTTATCATCAGCATATTAGAGTTCTGTAACATGTTGTTGTGATCTTCATTTTGGCTTTCAGTTTGCTGGAAGGCCGAGCTTCTTGTATGCTTCTGCAAAGGTATTTAGAGTGGCTTATAGGTCTTCTTCTGAATGCGCACAGACTATGTTATCATCAGCATATTAGAGTTCTGTAACAGATGTTGTGATCTTCATTTTGGCGTTCAGTCTGCTGGAAGGCCGAGCTTCTTGTATGCTTTTGCAAAGGTGTTTAGAGTGGCTTGTAGGTCTTCCTCTGAATGCACACAGACTATGTTATCATCAGCATATTAGAGTTCTGTAACATGTTGTTGTGATCTTCATTTTGGCTTTCAGTTTGCTGGAAGGCCGAGCTTCTTGTATGCTTCTGCAAAGGTATTTAGAGTGGCTTATAGGTCTTCTTCTGAATGCGCACAGACTATGTTATCATCAGCATATTAGAGTTCTGTAACAGATGTTGTGATCTTCATTTTGGCGTTCAGTCTGCTGGAAGGCCGAGCTTCTTGTATGCTTTTGCAAAGGTGTTTAGAGTGGCTTGTAGGTCTTCCTCTGAATGCACACAGACTATGTTATCATCAGCATATTAGAGTTCTGTAACATGTTGTTGTGATCTTCATTTTGGCTTTCAGTTTGCTGGAAGGCCGAGCTTCTTGTATGCTTCTGCAAAGGTATTTAGAGTGGCTTATAGGTCTTCTTCTGAATGCGCACAGACTATGTTATCATCAGCATATTAGAGTTCTGTAACAGATGTTGTGATCTTCATTTTGGCGTTCAGTCTGCTGGAAGGCCGAGCTTCTTGTATGCTTTTGCAAAGGTGTTTAGAGTGGCTTGTAGGTCTTCCTCTGAATGCACACAGACTATGTTATCATCAGCATATTGGAGTTCTATAACAGATGTTGTTGTGATCTTTGTTTTGGCTTTCAGTCTGCTGGAAGGCCGAGCTTCTTGTATGCTTCTGCAAAGGTATTTAGAGTGGCTTATAGGTCTTCTTCTGAATGCACACAGACTATGTTATCATCGGCATATTGGAGTTCTGTAACAGATGTTGTTGTGACCTTTTGGCTTTCAGTCTGCTGAGGTTAAATAGCTTGCCATCAGTCCGATAGATGATTTCCACTCTGATGGGAAGTTTCCTATCAACAAAATGAAGTATCATAGTGATGAAGATGGAAAATAAGGATACATGATCTAGTCAAGCAACCATCTTTTTTTTGAGTGAAAGGCTATTTTTTGGCAGTGCTAGATGGCTGAAAATTCGTACTCTGGATTTTATTGCCACTCAGGCTACATTTTGCCTTAACCACCCTTTGAAAGAGAACCCTATGAATGCACTTTGCTGCGGCCTAATGTTTGTGTGAACAGCTCCACACAAAGAAGTGGGTGATTCAAAATGGCTCAGGTCGCTGCTTTTGCACAAACGGCTTGCGACAGAGTTGCTCCCACACAATTCAAGTGGCCGCTCACACTGCAGGTTGAATGTGCAAATGAGGACGTAGTATCGGAATAATAATAATAATAAACAATTTATTATCCGCCTCTCTTTGCGGCTTAACATCATTAAAACAAGAGATAAAACACTATTAAAGGACACACACAGAGTTAAAATACAAGTTAAAATCTATCGACAAAATACAGATTGAAAGTCACATCTTAAAATTGACATAATAATAATCATAATAATCATAATAATATTTTTTTTCTCATGTCCCTGCATGAGGAGCTGGAGCTAACAGAGAGAGCTCATCCGCCTCCCCTGCCATGTGTTGCTGTGGCCCACATGGGCGTTCTGTGTGAGAGGTTTAGCCCAATTCTATCGTTGGTGGGGTTCAGAATGTTCTGTAATTGTAGGCGAACTATAAATCCCAGCAACTACAACTCCCAAATGTCAAGATTCTATTTTCCCCAAATTCCACCAGTGTTCATATTTGGGCATATTGAGTATTCATGCCAAGTTTGGTCCAGATCCATCACTGTTTGAGTCCATAGTGCTCTCTGGATGTAGGTGAACTACAACTCCAATACCAAAGGACACTGCCCACCAAACCCTTCCAGTATTTTCTGTTGGTCATGGGAGAACTGTATTCCAAATCTGGTTCAATTCCATCGTTGGTGGGGTTCAGAATGCTCTTTGATTGTAGGTGAACTATAAATCCCAGCAACTACAACTCCCAAATGACAAGATCAATTTTTTTGAGTGAAGGACATACATTGGGTTGTTAGGTGTCTTGTGTCCAAATTTGGTGTCAATTTGTCCAGTGGTTTTTGAGTTCTGTTAATCCCACAAACGAACATTACATTTATATATATATATATAATATATACACACATACACACACACACACACTCTACATTATACCATTAGCACAGTACAATATCAGCGCTATACATCACTATGTTGTACTATACAATTATATTGTAATATTATTAGTAATATTACATTTCATATAAAATATATAATTATATATATTATTATTAGTATTATACTGATATAGTATTAGTATTATTATTAGTATTATACTGTATTACATGATGTGATTGTTCTAGTGTTATTATTATTATTAGCAAAGCACAGGAGACAAGATGGAACTGTCTTCTGTTGTTGTTTGTTGTTGTTGTTTATTTATTTATTTACGACATTTATATGCCACCCTATTTAATATTACTATATTGTATTATACCATTATATTGTAATATTATTAGTTATTATTATTATTAGTAGTAGTAATATAATTAGTAAGATCATCTGGGGAGGCCCTGCTCTCGCTCCCGTCAACAGCACAGATGCGCCTGGCAGGGACGAGAGACAGGGCCTTCTCAGCTGTGGCCCCTCGCCTATGGAACACACTCCCAAAGGAGGTAAGATCCACTCCCTCCCTCCTGGCTTGGCCTCATGTAAGCCTCACCGAGTCCCTTGGGGAGATGGTAGCAGGGTACAAATAAAGTAGTGTTATTATTATTATTATTATTATTATTATTATTATTATTATATAGCATATATAGTTTTCTGATGGTCTTTGGTGACCTCTTTGAAACCCCCTTGCCCCCCCCCCCCCCCCGGGGTCCTGACCCCCAGGTTGAGAAACGGCCTATTTAAAATACATAGAGGTTTCACGTTACGTTCACGTGACACACCTACACGCTGCAGCCGACACACCGATGTGTCACGACACACAGTTTGGAAAGCTCTGCTTCAGAAACTTGTTATGTCTCTTTTTGACAAAAGCGTTGTTTACCACATTTATCTGGAGGAGATTGGGAAGCGTGTGCAACTTCATAACTCACGTGTTTCTTTTCTCTGTAGAGAGCATACTGTGGCCAGTGCAGCGAAAGGATATGGGGTCTCGGAAGGCAAGGCTACAAGTGTATCAACTGCAAATTGTTGGTCCATAAACGCTGTCACGTTCTTGTTCCACTGAACTGCAAAAGGCATATGGTAAGTGTGGCTTCTGGAAATACTTTGGGTTAAGGACGCCGCTTACAAGCATTTTCCAAACATTGCAGTGGCTTTACTTTCCCTTTTCAAAACATTCCAGCCTGGGAGGAGAAGCAGAGCAGAAGCAGAAAAGGAAACACACTGTTTAGGGAGGGGAAGAGGAGGGAGATATATATCAATCATATATTGCAAGAGCTTCTCTCCCCCTCCTTTCCCTTTTCAACATGTTCCAGCCTGGGAGGAGAAGCAGAAAAGGAAAGGCACTGTTTAGGGAGGGGAAGAGGGGAGAGAAATATCTCATATAATGCAAGGGCTTCTCTCCCCCTCCTTTCCCTTTTCAAAACATTCTAGGCTGGGAGGAGAAGTAGAAAAGGAAACACACTGTTTAGGGAGGGCAAGAGGAGAGAGAAATATCTCATATAATGCAAGGGCTTCTCTCCCCCTCCTTTCCCTTTTCAAAATGTTCCAGCCTGGGAGGAGAAGCAGAAAAGGAAAGACACTGTTTAGGGAGGGGAAGAGGAGAGAGAAATAGATCATATATTGCAAGGGCTTCTCCCCCCCCCCCTTTCCCTTTTCAAAATATCCCAGCCTAGGAGGAGAAGCAGAGCATAAGCAGAAAAGGAAACACACTGTTTAGGGAGGGGAAGAGGAGGGAGAAATATATCAATCATATATTGCAAGGGCTTCTCTCCCTTTCCTTTCCCCTTTCAAAACATTCCAGGCTGAGAGGAGAAGCAGAGCAGAAGCAGAAAAGGAAACACACTGTTTAGGGAGGGGAAGAGGAGAGAGAAATAGATCATAGAATGCAAGGGCTTCCCTCCCTCTCCTTTCCCTTTTCAAAACATTCCAGCCTGGGAGGAGAAGCAGAGCAGAAGCAGAAAAGGAAAGGCACTGTTTAGGGAGGGGAAGAGGAGAGAGAAATATCTCATACATTGCAAGCAATGGCCTCCAGGCTCTGCTGCCCGGCCTAGTACCCATAATACACCGAGGGATGCTTTTTTAGCCCATAAAGAGGTCTGAAAAACCCGGCATATCTTCAAGTATATATGGTAATAATGATAATAATAATAATAATAATAATAATAATAAAATACGTATCTCTCCTTGTTCCTCAAGATGGGGTACAACAAATAGGATGAGTATTATATACTATATATTTATATACCGTTCCGAGTTGCCTCTGTGCTGAGAGGGGGGGAGGTATATAAATATAGTCAATAAATAATAAATAAATATGGCTGCTCTGTACAGTTACTCTGTACAGTCACAAAAGACAGCTTTGGAAATAGGCTCGCTGTACTTTTAAAGGAGCTGCTTTACACATCGGAATGGCGCTATGCAAACAAATTGAGCTATAATCTAGTTACCAATACCATTGCAGTTCGTCTTGGGGGAGCATTACGTAAATCTCGCCATTCGTGAGTTTTCAGTCCTATATGTTCTTACAGGATTCTGTGATGCCTTCCCAGGAACCCCAGTTAGACGATAAGAATGACGAAGCTGACATCCCCACAGAAGAGAACGATGGATGTAAGTACAATTAATGGCGCAATTAAAAAAATATAAATTAAAGCCAGTTAATTCATCTTGGTGTCCATTGGTACAAATAAGCACATTTCAGGCTAATATAAATATAATCAATCCATCATGAGAAATCAAGTATCAAAATTATATTGGGATAATTCAGGAAGTAAAATTTGGGACATTAAATGAATTGAGACGGGTGTGGGAATCAGATCGATAGAAGAGAAAACAACGGGACTCAATTTGGAAAACTCAAGTGAGAAGATACCATGACAATTGCGCATAGATGGTACTACAGTGTTCCCTTGCTACTTCGCGGTTGTTGGAGTTCAGCCTGCGATTGTGTTTCAAGATGATCAAGGTACTTTAGATGTGGGGAATGATGTCCCTGAGGGTCAAGATGGAGATGGTCTGGTCAATGATATTAATGCAGAGAATGACATAGGGACACCGGTCCAAAGTGTAGTTTCTCGTGAGAATGTTCCTACAGGGTATAGGGATGAGAGTTTGCTCCCTGACCCAGAGAGTTCCCAGGATTTGGGGTTTGAAAACAACTTGGCACCTGGAGAAACTAATGAGCAGATAGATAATGAGCAAATAGACAGACGGCTAGAATTCAGCCAAACTAGACAGCTCAGCCAAAGGCCTTTGCCATTCTGCAAGACTTCAAGAGATAAGTGCGAGAGGCAGTCGAGGAAAACGAAACCAGGTTCTGGGTGCTAGGAATAGCCTAACAGAGGGATATAAAGTTCCCACCATGGAAAATATAGTCAGATGAAGCATCGTTTCAGAATCCTGTTAAGTCCTAGTTCTTGTTCTATGGAAGATTCATGTTAAGGATTTCTTGTTCATGGTTTGACTCTTTGTCTCTTGGGATTACATACTCATGCTGTGGATTAATGTTTTCCTGGTTCTTTGGATTTTATTACAAAAGTTTGAACTTTGCTGAACCCTGCCTTGGAATACTTTGTTCCTGCTTATCTTCCTACCTTATTTGGACTTATATACTTACTTAAAGCATATTTTTACCTGACTGTTTTCACTTATCTTCAATAAAAAAAGGATTGCTTTCCTACTCAACACGTGGTGTTTTAAAATCAGAGGGTTATTCCTGTTTTGTGGACTCGCTGTTTCGCGGGTTTTGGCTTCCCAGTTTATGAATGGTTGCCGTTGCCCAGAGCGGCATTCTAATCCCGCCTCCTGGCAATGATTCTTTGCATGCTGGCTGGAGATTTTTATGGCCTTGTAAATTAGTTAAAGTAGCCTCCCCGCATAAGTGGTACCTAAATTTCCTATTTGACAGATGCAACTGTCTTTCAGGCTTCAAAGGGGAGCTGTCGCTTCACCGTCCATTTGTGACACTGATGAAGTACTTCCTCATTCTTTGCATGCTTGCTGGAGATTTTTATAGCCTTGTAAATTAGTTAAAATAGCCTCCCCACATAAGCAGTACCTAAATTTCCTACTTGACAGATGCAACTGTCTTTCGGGCTTCAAAGGGGAGCTGTCGCTTCACCATCCATTTGTGACACTGATGAAGTACTTCCTCATTCTTTGCCCGCTTGCTGGAGATTTTTATGGCCTTGTAAATTAGTTAAAGTAGCCTCCCCGCATAATCGATACCTAAATTTCCTACTTGATAGATGCAACTGTCGACAACAAGCTACAAAAATTGGTCGGATGCTCACTCTGACCCGGGCTGGCTTCGAACTCATGACCTTTCTTTTGGTCAGTAGTGATCTTAATGCAGCTATGCCACAGTCCCGGTGCAAAAGGTGGTCGACAGATGCTCACGGAGATTCATATTTGCCAAAAATATACGACATCATTTTTCAAAAAGGTTATAGATACAATTTTCCCAAAAGCCCCAAGTGTTTGGAAAGCTCTGCTTTAAATAGCTAGCCATGTTCTGTCTGTAAATATGATTTATTTTTGGGTGAAAACGACTGTTGATGATATTAAGGAGGTGTGTTATCATTCCTTCTAAACTTCCCCGGGGAAAAAATGGGATTACATGAGGAAATAATGCAAAATCCCACCTTGCATTTCACCCCTTTGCCATTGGGGTGGCTGTGATTGCATGAGAGATGGCGTTGATTCTTCTGCTTTGCTCCACAGTGCCTTATATTTCTTCAGCCCGGAAGCATGACAACATTAAAGATGATTCTGAGGTAGGTTTGTGTCAAGGACGTTCTCCATCCTTCCAAAGCATCGTTCCTTGTAATGAATCTGTGTGTTTTCTTTTGCTTCTCTTCCCTCACTGTTTATTTTCAACCCTCTAGAAGTTCTTTCTTTTTAATTTTACTCATAATAAGTCCACTAGACGTGGGATAGATACTACTTATTTTTTAGTAGTTCAGTAAGGAGTTCTTATTCCATGCGTTTCACAAGACTGGCAACGCAAAGAGGGCCTTTAGCACAGCTGGTTAATCACCAGCAACAATACGAAGGTTGAATGAAAGGTAATGCCTCCACCTTCGTAACTACTCAACAGAGGACAGTACTGCTATGAGGCAAGTACTGGCTCGTTCAGTAGACTCTCCTCTGCAGTTCCATTTTGGCGGGAAGCCTTAGCATTGAACGGTTGTGTTGTTAAAGTGAAAAGTAATGCCTCCACCTTCGTAACTCCTCAACAGATGGAAGTACTGGTATGCGGCAGTTACCAGCTTGTTCAGTAGACTCTCCTCTACAGTTCAATTTTGGCAGGAAGCCTTAGCATTGAACGGTTGTGTTGTTAAAATGCGAAGTATGGAACCCTGTGCAGACGGTTGGTCAATGCGACATTAAATTCTTGACAGCAGAAGGTGTCACCTCAACATCTTTAAACTTACTCTTCAAACAATGCACAGTACTCGCATCAACACAATCACCATAAATCACCGTACTCGCATCAACACAGTACTCGCATCAACACAATCACCATAAGCTTGCATTCTCTGAAGAAACGCCTTTGGGGTGTTGAGTGTTGATGGCATGGTCGTCAGCATAGATGAAACTCTCTGTCCCTTCTGGCAGCGGCTGATCATTTGAGTAAATATTAAGCATTGATGGAGCAAGCTTCGGAGAATTTGTCTTCAACCATTTCAAAGCTCCCTGCTTGAGTGGTGATGGCACGATCGTCAGCATAGATGAAACTCTCTGTCCCTTCTGGCCGTGGCTGGTCATGTGTGTAAATGCTAAACATTGATGGAGCAAACTTTGGAGAGTTTGTCTTCAACCATTTCAAAGCGCCTTGATTGGGTGGTGATGGCACGATCGTCAGCATAGATGAAACTCTCTGTCTGTTCTGGCAGTGGCTGGTCATTTGTGTAAATGTTCAACATGGATGGAGCAAGCACGCTCCC